CCAATAGGAACGACCTATTGCTACGCTGACACCAATAGGAACGACTTATTGATACGCTGTATGACTTTGATTTTTGGAATATTCCCGTTTTTGATAGTAACATCCCTGGTCATACGATGTTAACATGCCACAGATATTTATTTACTTACAGTCTTACTCAGAATATCATGATATCCATGACGATATCTATGTCGAATTCTCACAAACATACCAATATGACAAGGTTTTATGAAATGCATGTTGATAGAGATTACTGGAAAGTTTCATGGTCATCCTTCACATGTCATTGCTAAATGTTCTGCTTCTTTGTGAGTTATGCGGCGGGGTAAGTCGATGAAGTAGAAAGTGCTTACCCTTCCAGAACACACAGTCTAATTATTTTTGTACTTTTGAAAGTTCTCCGTGAAAATATTGACTTTGTTCATTTTTTGCATGTCGATGTTTTCAGTTCAATCGCGATTTGGTTTATACGTCGGGATTTTCTTGTTTTCCTTTACATATCTATAGTCTCCTTTTTTCAGTATGCTTTTTTGCACATGAAGACATTAACATCTGTGACATTAAATTATTCATTCTCTCAATAGATATGAGTAACGGTCGCGTTAACATTCAGTGTTCGTTGTTATTGACCAATACCCATTGTCGTAACAAAAGTGACTTGCTAACCAATGGACATTGTCGTAACAAAAGTGACTTGCTAACCAATGGACATTGTCGTAACAATAGTGACGTGCTAGCCAATCGACATTGTTGTAACAAAAGTGACGTGCTCACCAATGGACATTGTCGTAACAAAAGTGACGTGCTAGCCAATCGACATTGTCGTAACAAAAGTGACGTGCTAACCAATGGACATTGTCGAAACAAAAGTGACGTGTTAAATTAAAAACAATAAACAAATCTCGTATTTGCAAATATGTATTGATAACGTAAGCTATTCAGACAATTGTAAATGCTGTTCTTACTTATTGCTCACATGTCGTTATTATCATATTATGTCAAAAATATATCTCATATAAGTATATCTTACGAGTTATTTTATAATAATACAAAAACAAAATGTAAAATATGTGTACCAGTATATTTTAAAAACATCAGTAAATTGAGGCATATATGAACACCCCAGTGTTGAAAAAGACACAGAAAAGGCCAGATGCAATTGATCTTGAAATGTCATATGTTCAACAGCTAATATAGATCAGAGTTCATGAGTACGTTCATTATGGTGAATATGGTAATGATACATATTAGTTCTAATATTTAGAAAGTTCATAACGATAACACAACATTATTGAGATTCGATACAAAACTGAACTCGTAAACCTCTCACGATATGTATTACCTAGGTCTTACATAGGAAGTCCCGATACACCAGTTTGTTATTTATTTAGCCTGTACATACGACTACATTATATCTTCTACCGTGAAAAGAACTGGAATGACGCTTTGCTTGAGAAATATAACATGTATAACGTATACGTGTGTGAAGCTTTCATATGGTAATGTGGGACATATCGTTCCATTAAAATTAAAAATCCACTTATACACTACGCTATAAATTATCATTGCGACTTTAGAATGAAAACATAATAAGCACGTGCTCACATCGATATAACCAAACCCTTACTTACTTTCTTTTTACCATGATTGATGAGGGATCCTAAAGTTGGTTCCTAGTTCTTCCTAGTTCGGGAACCAGATTCTAGTTCCGTTTAAAAACTGAAAACATCATAACCAGCCTTTTATAATCCACTGGGAACTCCAGCTACGCTTTCTCTTAAACGGAACTAGTAATTGGGAACCAACTTCAGGCTCCCCATTGTGAACACCAAAACCTTTTCAGTTCTAGATATTATGCACATTTTTTATGTAAAGCGATTACCCGATTACCTCGCTGGGATATGACAGGATCAGGGCTCGTGCTAGTCCTAGGGGAACTGGACAGGGTGGAGTTCACTTGTAAAGGGTTATACTAAGGTAATAACCTGTTCCTCAATAAATAATTACATATTATATTAATCTAGTTATAGTCCCAAATCGTCAGCCATACAAGCGCATCAAGTCTGGTAAAACTCAAAGTAGTCTAAACATCCTTTTTTTATTCCTATTCAGTGGAGAGAAAATACAGAAAACAGCTCTTGTGCAAACACATACTCGTCTATTGATGTAACAGAATGTGAAATCTCGTGAATCGTTTGGAAAATATCAAAAATAAAACATGATCCAGAAATGTTTCCTTTGTCGCCCAGTTGAGTAGGTAAAACCAAGTTTTAGTGCGTGGCACACCAACTCACTAACATGCAACGGCATAGAATGGATGTTATACAGGTAAATCATTTCTTTCCTCTAATATTCTCTAGTACTTTTATAAAAGATAACTCCATAACGTTTATTTAATAAAACATTTTACATAAACAAAAATAATACGTTTGAAAAGCGAACAGTGTATAGAAAATATAGGACTTATGGTAACAATATTCGTTTGTCTAAGGAATCATAGTTAACATAATTAATTAATAGAAAATAATGTTAACAGAATATTTACTCCTGGTAAACAATGTTTACAGAATATTTACTCCCGGTAAACAATGTTAACAGAATATTTACTCCTGGTTTTTTTTTTTACAGAATATTTACTCCCAGTAAACAATGTAAACAGAATATTTACTACCAGTAAACAATGTAAACAGAATATTTACTACCGGTAAACAAAGTTTACAGAATATTTACACCCGGTAAACAATGTTAACAGAATATTTATTCCTGTTTTCTTTTTTAAAAGAATATTTACTCCCGGTAAACAATATTAACAGAATATTAACTCCTGGTGAACAATGTAAACAGAATATTTACTCCCGGTAAACAATGTTTACAGAATATTTACTCCTGGTGAACAATGTTTACACACTTTTTACTCCCGGTAAACAATGTTAACAGAATATTTACTCCCGGTAAACAATGTTACGAATATTTACTCCTGGTCTTTTTTTTACAGAATATTTACTCCCGGTAAACAATGTCAACAGAATATTTACTCCTGGTTAACAAAGTTTACAGATTATTAACTCCTGGTTAACAATGTTTACAGAATATTAACTCATGGTGAACAATGTTTACTAATAGAATCTATCGCTACTGGTTGTGTAAGATAGAGAAATCTCAACCCTCGGACTAAGATTTTTTTGTCCAGAACTCGGCAAGCCTCGTTCTGGACAAAAAATCTTAGTCCTCGGGTGGAGATTTCTCTATCTTACACAACCAGTAGCGATTGATTATTTTTCTCCCATATCTAACAGTATTTAAATGTGAAATAAAGGTAAACATGGACACAAAACACATACAGGCAATTTGTTGATGGATTGTTGACGTGACGTCATTGTATTGTTGAAGTGACGTCATGCCATTGTTATAGTGGGGGAATCCCCCCGTCTCAACCCTAGGGCGGAGACAGATAAATCTAGCACCGGCAAAACGGGAGATAAATCTGTCAGGTGTGGGAGAAAGAATATTAACTCCTTTTGAACAATGTTTACAGAATATTTACTCCTGGTGAACAATGTAAACAGAATATTTACTCCCGGTTAACAAAGTTTACAGAATATTAACTCCTGGTTAACAATGTTTACAGAATATTAACTCCTTTTGAACAATGTTTACAGAATATTTACTCCTGGTGAACAATGTTAACAGAATATTTACTCCCGGTAAACAATGTTTACAAAATATTTACTCCCGGTAAACAATGTTAACAAAATATTTACTCCTGGTAAACAATGTTTACAGAATATTTACTCCCGGTAAACAATGTTAACACACTTTTTACTCCCGGTAAACAATGTTAACAGAATATTTACTCACGGTAAACAATGTTTACACACTTTTTACAACCGGTAAATAATGTAAACAGAATATTTCCTCCTGGTGAACAATGTTAACACACTTTTTACTCCCGGTAAACAATGTCAACAGAATATTTACTCCCGGTAAACAATGTTTACACACTTTTTACTCCCGGTAAACAATGTTAACAGAATATTTACTCCTGGTGAACAATGCTTACACACTTTTTACTCCCGGTAAATAATGTTAACAGAATATTTACTCCTGGTGAACAAAGTTTACAGAATATTTACTCCCGGTAAACAATGTTAACAGAATATTTCCTCCTGGTGAACAATGTTAACACACTTTTTGCTCCCGGTAAACAATGTTAACAGAATATTTACTCCCGGTAAACAATGTTTACACACTTTTTACTCCCGGTAAATAATGTTAACAGAATATTTACTCCCGGTAAACAATGTTTATACACTTTTTACTCCCGGTAAATAATGTTAACAGAATATTTACTCCTGGTGAACAATGTTAACACACTTTTTACTCCCGGTAAATAATGTTAACAGAATATTTACTCCCGGTAAACAATGTTTACACACTTTTTACTCCCGGTAAA